AGCCCCCACTCCCACTCCCAGCATGTATGCACAAGGAAGCGTGCATAGATTAATTCAGAATCATAGATTGTCACAAAAAAAAACTTATCAACACAGAAGTTGATTTAAAAAAACAGATAGATTTTTAGGTAACAAAGCAATCTATACAAGTGAAGCTGAATGAGCTTGAACTTTCGTCATATGTAATAATACAGGCTAACGATACCCACAGTAATCTTCTCCCTCCATGTTATTTGACAATGACTGACACATGGTTGCCATAGATAGAGGATATATGACTAGCATGTAAATCGTAAAAAGCGGGTGCTGTGATTTGGAGAAGAAACACACCCAAATATATGTGTTGAAGCTTGAAACTTTGTGGAATGTTTAAAGGTAGGGACGCAACATGATGAGATGCTATACGCTGATTCCTAAAATGTGCTGACTTACGCCTCCCTTTTCTGGTCATGGCTGAAAGCCTCTCATCTCTCTAACAGCTCCCCTTCAGAACTGGCTGTGAGCTGAGCTTCGGCTCCTGCATCCAGCCAGGACTAGCTGGACAGAGGAGCAGTTTGTTTCTAATGGGTTCCAGGAGCATCTTTTTTAATTAATTAGTTTATTTATTATTATTTATTACAATTTATTCACTTTGTATCACAGCTGAAGCTCCCTCCTTCATCTCCTCCCAGTTCCTCCCTCCCTCTTCTCCCCCATGTCCCTCCCCTAGCCCACTGATAGGACCTCCTCCCCTTTTATCTGACCCTAGCCTATCAAGTCTCATTGTCTTCCTCTGTGGCCTGAGGTGATCAAAGAGCCTGTCACTGAGTTTATGTCAGAGACAGGCCCTCCCCCCCAACCCCAGGATTTTTACCCAAGCTGGTATGTCTCTAGTTTAAAATTATTTCTTAGTCTTTGCACTTCCTGAGGTGATCTAATAGTTGGAGACTGACTCAATTGATTCAGCAATTAATGAAATCTGCATACTCCTAAGGCAAAGGAAGCTTCCTTTAGTTTATTTAGATAGAAACCCCCTGATAATTGTCAAAAATGAGACAGAAACATTTTGAACAAGCATCAGTACATGATAAATAATTACAAAAAAAAATTACTTTTGGCCAAATTAGAAAATGATTTAGAATCTCGCCACTCTTTGGGAATAAAGAAAAAAAGTTTAATGTGTAGGAATATAGACATTAGCTTGTATAAATGTCCCTGATGTTTTATAATATCAGGGCTCTGGTAGCTTGTATTTGCTACACACAAAAGGAAGAGAGAGTTAGATAATGAGTAGATATGGAAATACTTTCATGCTTTTGGAATTTATTATTTATTACAATTTATTCACTTTGTATCCCAGCTGTAGCCCCCTCCCTCATCTCCTCCTAATCCCACCCTTCCTCCCTCTTCTCCCCTATGCCCTTCCCCTAGTCCATTGATAGGGGAGGTCCTCCTCCCCTTCCATTTGACCCTAGCTTATCAGGTCTCATCAGGACTGGTTACATTGCCTTCTTCTGTGGCCTGGCAAGTCTGCACCCCTCCAGGGGCGATGATCAGAAAGCCTGCCACTGAGTTCATGCTAGAGACATTCTTTTTTTTTTTTTTTTTAGTTTTGCGAAACAGGGTCTTGTAGCACAGGCTATCCCTGAGCTCATAATCTTTCTGTCTCTGCTTCTCAAGGGCTGGGATTACAGATGCAGGCCACTATGCCCGGGTTTTGTTGTTGTTTTGTTTTAGGTTTGGGTTTTTTTTTCTTTTTTTGCATCTTTTTCATCTTATTTTATGTGCATTGGTGTTTTGCCTGCATGTATATCTGTGTGAGGGTGCCAAATCTTGGAGTTACAGACAGTTGTGAGCTGCCATGTGGGCACTGGGAATTAAACCCGGGCACTCCGGAAGAACAGTCAGTGCTTTCAACCACTGAGCCATCTCTCCAACCCATATTTGCATCTTTTTTTACTCTAGTTAACTCATCCCTGTTGTTTTTAACAAAATACCAATTGTTAGATTTTACCAATAAAGACTCCAGATACTGCTTGCTCAGAGAGGCGGAGAAAGCACCCAGCTGGCCTTCCTTCTCAGCTGATGTCCCAAAAGGAAAAGGAAACTATCCTTCCCCACGCCCTCTCAAATACCCCCAAAATGAATGTTCCTCTCTTCCACTTTCTATGCATCTCCCTATCCATCTTCCTCTTACTCTCTATAGATTTTTTTCCTATGTTCCCTTCCTGTTAACTAGGTGCCTGTTCCACCTAGATTTAACTTTATTTAATCCTGTTTTGGAATAAAGGTGTGTGCGAGGGATGAGCTACACCACAATTAGAAACAGGTTTTTCTAGTAAACAACACAATCTCAGGGTTCACAGAGTGATCAACTATCCTGCAACACATCCCTCATGTGGCCACTATAAACTTAGCTCTTCTATATGAGGTTTATATAAAACCAAGAATATAAATTTAGGTAAGACCTTTGGTGAAAGAACCACTAAATTAGTTATAAATGGTACAAATTAAAGAGTAGAGAAGAGAATCTAGTTATTACACTGCTCAAATCATTGTCCTTCTGAAAATGTGAACGCTAAAGGACTAACAGGAGGATTAGCAATGCGGGTTCATTTAACACTGTCCTGAAAAACACAACCTTCCCTTTGCAGAGGGAACACCAAGAAAAGCCACCATCCCATAAGGAATCTGCTCTTACTTTCAGACAGCCAATGTAATGAATGATTTGATAAAGGTTTTTCATGCAATACTAATTTTGGTGATAGGAGTCACATTTGACCAGGCTAGTTAAGTGTCCATTGTTAAGAGTAACTTAGGTAGAGAGACACATCCTCTCTTACTGCCAAACTGTCATTTAAACCCACTTAGAATTTCCTTTCCAGGCTAGAGAAATGGCTCAGAGGTTAAGAGCACTGGCTATTCTTCTAAATGCCCTGAGTTCAATTCCCACCAACTACATGGTGGCTCACAACTATCAGATAATGAGATCCAGTGTCGTCTTCTGGTGTGCGGGCATACATGCAGGCAGAATATTGTATAAATAATTAATAAATAAATAAATCTTAAAAAAATTCTTTTGCATTTAAGGTTCTTTTTTCAGTGTACAATTAACTGTTTCACAAATGCCTGCCCCAAATCCCTTACATCTTTGAAGGGAACTCTAATATGTAGCTAATACTGGAATGCAAAAAAAAAAAATACTAATTTTACCAAGTGTTTTTTTTTTTTTTCAAATTTAGCCTTACATGTGTCTGAAGGGGAGTAAAAGAAACACCCCGAAAGATTTATTGTTCAAATGAGCATACTGCCCCAACAATGACTTTCCTGGGTGATTATGGAAAAAAACAACTAAAAGGAAAAAAAATGCAATAACAAATACTGACAGGAATGCTAAAGAAAGGGCACCCAGTATTTCAAGACAACTTAAATCAGTGTGGCGGGCATATAAGGAAATACCTTAGTTTCTTATGCTTAAACACTCAACTCAAACATAATAGTACCTTCTACTGTGCAATGAGTTTGAAGCATGTATTGTAGTTGGCACTTCAAAAATAAATTTAACTATTTTTTATCTTCTTTTGAAGACAGTGTCTGGCCTTGTACTCACTATACAGCTAAGCTCATAATCCCTCTGCCTCTATCTCCCCAGAGCTGGGATTATGAGTGACCACATCAGGCAATGACTCTGTTAATAACTACTGTTAGTGGAATATCAGATAAAGTAGTGAGACTTAGGCTGTGGCGAGTTCAAATAGCAGAAACGAGGCCTTAACTACAGTGAAATCCTGACTTTAAAATACAGTGCTTCCATATTATACAGGTAGAAAATGTCCTTATTTGGGAAGAAAAGCAATATTCATGTCCTGGTTTCCTGCCTTTCTGGCTGACTTTCCTCTAATCTTCTTTCCTTCCTTTCTTGCTCTCTTTCATCCTTCCTTCTGTTCTTCTTTCTTCTTCCTTTCTTTTTGAAGAAAATTCTTATTATGCAGCCCAGCTTGACCTCAAACTCACAGCAATCCTCCTGCCTCAGTTTCTTTCAACGTGTTATGCATGGTGAGAATTCTTTCTTTTAGGGTTGAATAAAGTCCCACATTGTGTGTGTGCATGCATGTGTGTGTGGGTGTGTCCTACTTACCGTTCCTGTTGCTGTGAAAAAAATACCTGACAGAAACAACTTACCAGGGACAGAGAATGGCTTATTTACCTCAAAACTCCAGGATGCACTTCATGACACCAAATAAGTCACAGCAAGAACTGCTTGAGAGAACTGTTCACATGACATCTGCAGTCAGAAGAAGAGAGTAGTGTATGCATGCATGCTTCCCTCAGCTCACTTCCTCTTTTTCCATTCAGTACAGCACACAAACCCAGGAAATAGTGCTTCCCATATCAACTGAAGTAATCAAAACAACACACCACAGATTGCCCACAGGCCAAACCTATCTAGACAGCTTCTCACTGGGACTGCCTTCCCCTGTGATTCCAACAGTGTCGAGCTGACAAAACTAGCCATCACAATATTACATTTCATTCACCTGTTCACATGTACAGATTTTTTTCTGTATCTTTTTATGAACAACAGTAAAATTAATTTATATACAGATAAGTCTGTGAGGGGTTTGGTTTTTTTGAATGGTTGTTTGGTTGGTTGGTTTTTTGTTGTTGTTGTTGTTGTTTGAGACAGGGTTTCTCTGTGTAGCTTTGGCTGTCCTGAGCTCGATTTGTAGACCATCCGGGCCTCAAACTCACAGAGACCGAGTGCTGGGATTACAGGCGTGTGCCACACCACACCAGGCTAAATCTGTGAGATTTTTAAGAAAATTCATTTAGGACTCTGAAGGAAATTTTTTTAAAATTTCATTCCCTAAAAAAAAAAAAAAAAAAAAAAAAGTCATAGGCCAGTGAGATAGTTCAGAAGGTAAAAGTGCTTGTTGTACAAGCCCAATAACCAAGTTAGATCCCTGAAACCCACATAAAAAGCCAGTGTGCATCTGTCATCCCAGCGCCCATGCCGTGAGATGGGAGGTGGAAACAGGAGAATCACCCGGAAGCTCGTGGACCAGCTAACCGAGAGTATGCACTGTAGCAGAAACAAGAGAGACTTTACCTTAGCAAGGTTGACGGTGAGGACTAATTCTTGAACACACACACATACACATTTATAATAATAATTTTAGAAATCCAACTCATAAACGCAGAGAGTAGAATGGAGATGAAGAGCTTAAAGAGTGAAGGAACTCAAGAAGATACCAGCCAAAAAGTACAAACTTTCAATTACACAATAAGTTCTAGGACCTCAGAGTGTACTATGCTGACTATAGTTAATAATATTACATTACTAACTTAATGTTTAATAAGAAAAACTGTTTGCAAAAATCATGTTGTATATCTTGAATATGTAATTATTTATTTACTAATATAAAATTGGGATTAGTTGTCTTGAACAATCCATTTAGTATTAATTTGTTTAGCTTGATAGATATATGGATGGTTTATAATAGAGTTATTTACAAATATATATATGCAAAGGCTATATACATGTTTAACTATGTAAATATAGTCTTTTATTTATGCACACTTACATACATTTAAGTATAGATAATTTTTATATGTTTGTGCTTTATCAGATGGGAAGGTCTAAGTAACAATATCCCCATAGCAACAAGAACACATGGAGACTCAGATCCTGATTTCTAACACCTAGCTCTAATATAAGGAATCAACCCTCCTTGGAAAAAAAGCCCCTTCAAAGTCTGGGGTAGAAAACACACAAGATGAGCCTGGAGTATGTTGTAGTATCAAAACATAAGGAAGAGCAAAAGAAAGGAAGAAAGAGAGAGAGAGAGAGAAGGAAAGAAAAAAACAAGGAAAGAAAGAAAGGAAGGAAGGAAAGGAAGAAAGAAAGAAGGAAGGAAGGAAGGAAGGAAGGAAGGAAGGAAGGAAGGAAGGAAGGAAGGAAGGAAGGAAGGAAGGAAAGAAGGAAGGAAGGAAGGCCCACCTTAAGTTGGGACAGAGAAGTCATGAAAGAGATCCCAAAATCCAAAGCAGAGACAATTCAAGCAAAAAGATGAAATTGCACTGGATTATAACACAACATATAAAACAAATATCTGAAATCACACTAACCTAGTTGAAAAACTTAATAAATATGAGAGGATATTTCCCTCTATAAAATAAATCCAGAGTCTTTTGCTTCAACCTAATTTTAAGATCATTTTCACTTTTCTGTAAATGGATCCTCTGAAGAAACAAAAAGTGCTTTTAACTCCACAAGTGTGTGTTACACATACATGCCCACCCATGCAATAAACAAAATGTAACAATTATCAGAAAATAACATTCAACAGACATTGGTATAATAAGTTGTTTAATAAGATAAGAAAAACTAAAAAAAAAAAAAAAAAAAAAAAAAAAAAAAAAAAAAAAACGCTAGTGATAGAAAAGCAAAGAGGTATCACAACTAAGTCCTGGACCACAAGTGAAAGAGAAGGAAAGGGTGAGCTGAATAGACGATTCTGATGTCCTGTGAGAGACATTACTGAACAGTTGTTGAGACCTGAGAGGGGTTTGTAGATTAAAGTTTCACACCAATGATAATACATCTGTTTGATGATGATATTGAAGTTTTGTGGAAAAGCAACACCACTTTCTAAGATATTCACAGAAGCATTCCAGGTAATTTGACAAGAGGCCTGTGACATGTAATCCCAAAAGTTTCAAAGAGGAAATACTAACATAAGAGAAATTACAATACAAAGCAGAGCTAGAGAATCTGAGAGAAACATGTATTCCATTGCATGACTAATGGCCCCCATGAGCCATGTTTGAAAACTAATCTGCAGTTGGTGGAACTGTTTGGAAAAGATTAGGAAGTGTGGAGTTGGAGGAGCTGTGTCCTTAGCGATGGACTTTGAGGCTTCAAAACCCTCTGCCATCCCCAGGTATCTGCCTCCCACTTGCAGTTCCAGCTGGGAGCTCTCAGCTATTCCTGCACCCATGACTTTGTTCAGCCAAAACAGATTCGAACCCTCCAGAACTGTGTATCCAGCTAAACACTTACTTTTATAAATTGCCTTATTCATGGTCTTTTATCACTACATAATTAGGCCAGTCCCATCAAACTGCAAAGGAGTCATGCCAATGCAGGCTCCAGAATCCATCAGTGTCACAAATGTCTGGACAGCTCCAGGCACTCCTGAACATTTATTTGAGAGTGCTTCTCTAGAAAGAAATTCATCATCACCTAATTTCATGTTGTTTAAAGTCTAAATGCCAAAATTATCATGAATAGAAAAATATAGTAAAGACATTATCAACAAATGTATTCTCTGTAGTTGACTGTTTGTGTTCTAAAATTCAAGTGCTGATGTTTTGGTGACTTTGGATTTTTGTCTATTTATGATATGGGCCTACTATGTAGTCCAGGCTAGCCTCAATTTTCTAATCATCCTGACTTTGCTTCCTGAGCTCTGGGGTTACAAGTGTATGCCATCGCTTTTGGCCTCATATGTTAAAATTCTTAGTCTCTCAGCATGATGCTGTTTGGTAATGGGAACTTTGGGTACTCATTTGACTAGATTAAGTCATAAAGGTAAGTGGGTATGGCCTCATGGTGGTATTTGAGGCATAGAAGAGGAGGGAGAATGGGGGACAAAGAAGAGGAGTGGGGAGAAAGAGAGAGGACTTTCTGATCTCAGACTTACATAGTCCAGACCTGAAAAAGACCACATTTCTGTTATTCCAATTGCTCAGACTATGGCATTTTATTATGACAGTGCATGACAATTAAGACATCCCCTGTCACTCTTTCCCGTTCCGAATCTGACCTTGGTTCAAGTATTTCTTTGCCTCTTTTAGAATAATGTCTCTGTCAGCCTGGTCAACACATAAGTAAACTAGGTGGAAGAAGATACAAGAGGTGATGCTTTAGTTTAATTTCTCTTGTCCTGATAAAAGCAGCTCAGGAGAGAGAGGGTTCCACGTGGCTCGAAGGTCCAGATACAGTCTAGGACAGCAGAGAGACATCATGGCGGTAGGAGCCTGAAGCACCTCGCTGCACTGTCTGCAGTCAGAAGAAAAACAATGACAGCAAACTGCTGCTCAGCTCCTTCCCCCACCCCATTTACATGTACACATGGTGTCCTGCCTCAGGAATGGAGACCCACAATTAACATGGGTCTTCCCACCTCAGCTAATGAATTCAAGATAATTCACAACAGGCATACCCAGAGGCCCGTGTCTCAGGGGATCCCAGAATCTGTCACTAATTTATCACTAAAACGAGATTTTTTTTTCCTTCCCAATTATTATAAATATATATATATTTGAGACAAGGTTTCTCTGTGTAGCCTTGGCTGTCCTAGACTCACTTTGTAGACCAGGCTGGCCTTGAACTCCCAGAGATCTGCCTGCCTCTGCCTCACCAAATGCTGGGATTACAGGGGTGCTCCACTGCGCCCGGTTTAAAATAATAATTATAGCAGCCAAGCAGCCAAGCAGCCAAGCAGCCAGGCGTGTAAGGCTTCCCAAGGCTTATCTAACCACATCTTCCCAGCACTGTAAAGCGGCTTCTACTTCCATTTCCACTCCTGCTGCTTGTTAATACTTAGAAGAGTGAAGTTACTTTCTCAAAGTCACAGCAGTATTTAAACAGTGAGGCTAAGGAGACCCCTTTAGACAGATTTTTCTCAAATGTACATACCAATCACCAAGAGGCCTTGTTAAAATGCAGATCCAGATCCAGCATGTCTGGGAGAAGCTGGGGATTCTGAATTGCTAATAAGCTTTTAGGTAAGGCTGAGCCCTCCTAACTACACCTTGAGCAGCCAGACACCAGAGGTTCACGGCAGCTCTGGAGAGGAAGCGCTCCTACTTGTCTCCTGAATTATATATAACAAAGATTAAAAGATCTGTTGCCGACCTTGTTGGTAATCAGCAAGTCCTGATCATTGTGCCTCTCCTCCGCACGGAAGCTGTGAAGTTAAATCATCTGCAGAAGAGCTGGAAGATTTCCTGGTGCGGACAGTCACCCCATTGCAGAGTACAACATAACCGCCCCAAACTAATGAGAGATCCTCACGTTGCGAGGACCACGCAGCATTTTAATTGCTGCAGGTTCAGCAAGGATGTTTCCCCTTGTCCGTTCTCTTTCCTTTGACCTGGAGCTCTAAATCTAATATCTTGCTGTCTAGACATCGTATCAGGCTGTAGAGGCTCAAGAGTACTGTGTGGAAGAATAAGACTCACTGCAAATGAAGTTGAAGACACAGGTTATTTATCAACGGGCTGTGGAGGTGTAGTGGTACATGCATTTACTCCCAGCACTTAGGCAGAGGCAGAAAAATCTCTGTATCTCTGCCTCTGTGTCTCGAGTTTAAGGTTAGCCTGGGCTACACAGCAAGTTCCAGGACAGCCAGGGCTACACTGAGAGAGCTTGTCTCAAAGAAAAAATAATAATTCTGTGGCTTGGGATGGAGATGTAGTTCAGATAGCAGAATGCCTGCTTAGCATGCACAATGCCCTGGGGTTATTCCCAACACCACATAAATCAGGCCTGTTATACACCTATAATCTCAAGATTTGGGAATTAAAAGCTGCAGGATCATAAGTAAAGATTGGAGGCTAGCTGGGCTACATGGGTCTCTGTCTCAGAAAACACAAACAAAAATCTGTGAGGAGAAAAACATGATGTCAAAGCAAGTCATTGATACAGCGATCACACCTCAGGATTTTAGAGCACAAATTAAATACAAGTACAGGTTAGCATGTAACAGCTTCCCAAAGAGACCCATCCAAGAGCTTGAACTCCTGTCAATGATCACAACTTAAAAAAAAAAATGTAATTGGCTTGTTTTAAAGGAAACAATTTCATAAGTTTTGACAAATATGTACCCTCATGAAACCAAATTCAGAACTCAAGATAATGTACAATTTCATCCGAAGAAGGATTCTGTATAACCTTGGGAACCTAGTTCATTGCCGTCTCTAGGCAACTGCTCAGTATCTCTCCATCACTGTAGATGAATTTCTTTCCTATTTTCTTCTGTCTGTTTTTTTTTTTTTCCTTTTTTCTCTCAACACATTTATTTTGAGGTTTGGTTAATGTTACCGCATGCATCTATCC